GGTCGTAGTTCGCTGTCCGACGAGTTTCGTGAAGGTCGTCCAAAATCGACTGTAGTGCCAGAAAACATCGATGCTGTGCACGAAATGATTAAGCAAGATCGTCATATAACCTATTGTGAGATTGAGGCATCCCTAAGCATTAGTTCCACCAGCATATATGCGATTTTACATGAACACTTAGCTGTACGAAAGTTATGTTCGCGTTGGATCCCACATAATTTGACAATCGCTCAAAAAAAGGCTCGTGTCGATTGGTGCAAAGAAATGCTTAAGAAATACAATCGAGGTGCTTCAAAAGACGTTTATAAAATCGTGACAGGTGACGACCCACACAACACATGTACGTCCTTTGGACGTCCAATATATGTCCTCACATGTCCCCCATTCGTGGGACGTCCAAAGTACGTTATTCGGACGTCCGATATATGTCCTCACATGTCCCCATTTGTGGGACGTCCAAAGTACGTTAGTCGGACGTCCTGTTAAAATTTCAACTGCGATGGACAGTTGTAGGACTTTAAAAAGACATATTCCGGACATCTTACAATATATCGAGTATATGTATACCCTGTAGTTGAAAACTTAATTTTTATCGATAACATTCGTTTAATACATATAAATTTTGGTTGTGTCTTTTTATATCCAAAATAAGACGTTTATTTTATGTCCTGTAGACATCCTCCGTTTAGTTCTGTGAGGACGTCTGAGCTGAAGATTCTAATTCTATTATTATTATTAATTATAATTTTCTTACAATAATTTTTATTTTTTACAATTTTTTTTAGAGTGACTTTTAATCCTGATAATTTTAGACGCTAGTGCGCAATGCGCTGCGCATGTCCTGGTCGGCCGGGTTTTCACGTGTCACAACATGTTTCGTGCTCGTGCTCTCGTGTGCCGCTCGTATCTCTCATACCTCGTGTTATTGAACAAAGAGATATTTATTGCAGAGAATATATAGAAAAGTCTTAGTGAAAATATCAATAATACCGGATTCTGTGTAAGTCAGTGACGCACCGCCAAAATACTACTGAATGACAACAATCATAACCTCAGATTTTACAGTTTGTGTTGATTAAAAACTTTCTATGATAAAATTTTCATAGATGTAAAAATTGAACTATATAACGTACTCTAGAATTCTGAAAACAGTAATGCATGGGTTATATTCATATTTTACTACTCTAGAAATGATAAAGGAATTTAAATTGACAAAAAACACTGAAAGTTTATAAAAATTTACACATAATTGTATACGTTAACTTTGAACACTTTAATTGGAGTTTTTATTTTAATTTTTTTTATACTAAGTAAACTGCGTGAACATATAAAAAATAGCACGTCAGTAATATATTATTTTGTTTTTGTTACACTAACATAAATTTTATAAATAAACATATTGATAATTTTGATGAGCTACTGGTTATAATGCTGAAAGTAGTATACTTAAGATAATATTGCAAAAATTATATACATGTATTTTATTGATTTAAATAAATTCTAACTATCTAAATATATAATATGGTCTTAATAGTTTTCAATGAGCATTATTGAAACATTTGTTGCGTTCAGCAGAAAAAGCAGCTCATGCGGCGACTGTTGATTCTTTAATGTGATTATTTCCTTTAGTTCTTCGTTGGATCTAAACATAGAAACTAATCACATTAAAGAATTAATAAGCACTCATTGGCCGGTATTCATAGTCAGATCTTATATTTAAGATCGTCTTAAGATCTCGTTTAACCAATCAAATAGCCGTATAACGTCATTTGATTGGTTGAACGAGATCTTAAGACGATCTTAAATATAAGATCTGACTATGAATACTGGCCATTGTGCTCTTTTTCTGTTGAATGCAGTCATTATATCCACATAATTACATACTTTGGATGTCCGTAGTAAGCACTAAGGATATCCGCTGGACGTCCCATTTATAGCCTATGGATGTTGTTAGGCGGAACATAGGACATCCTTAATACATCCACAGGATGTACACGGGACGTCCATCGGATGTCCTTGGTGCTCGCTTCGGACATCCAAATTATGTTGTAATTACGTCCATGTGTTGTGTGGGGAATCATGAATATATTCGTATGAGCCCGAAAGTAAGCAGCAGTCGACTGTATGGGTGTTCCAAGATGAACCAAATCCAACAAAAGTTGTTCGCGCACGAAGCACTTCAAAGAAAATGGTGGCCTGTTTCTTCGGAAAAACTGGACATATTGCAACAGTGCCTCTAGAGGATCGTAGAACAGTAAATTCTGAGTGGTACACAACCATTTGTTTGCCAGAAATCTTCGGTGAAATAAGGAAAACAAACAAGAGACGTCGGATTGTTCTTCATCATGACAATGCGAGCTCTCACACATCGGCTCAAACAAGAGACTATTTGAGCACTCAAAACATCGAATTGATGGGTCATCCGCCGTACAGCCCTGATTTGGCACCCAATGATTTCTTTTTGTTCCCATCCGTGAAGAATAAACTAGGTGGTCAACGATTTTCATCGCCCGAAGAAGCTATTGAAGCGTTCAAAAATCATGTTTTGGAGATACCTCATTCGGAATGGAATAAATGCTTTGAAAATTGGTTTAAGCGCATGCAAAAGTGTATCGATCATCGTGGCGAGTACTTTGAAAAACAATAAAAATATATTCGCAGCTTAACTATTTGTTTTTGTTCCTATTCCCGAAATATAAATAGTGACCCTCGTATTAAGAATATAAATATGATGTTTTTTAAATCGGCCAACAGAGCCAAAGCACGAAAAACTAATTATTCGGAACTGTACCTCTTGGTTTGAGATCACTAAGTTCCATATATAAATTAATCTCGAAACTTACATATGGAGAAATAGGCGCGAAAAATATAGGTCCGAAAAGTCGCCTTCCTATCGGTTCCCGCTTTTGGACCTATATTTTTCGCACCTATTTCTCCATATGTAAGTTTCGAAATTAATTTATATATGGAACTTAGTGATCTCAAACCAAGAGATACAGTTCCGAATAATTAATTTTTCGTGCTTTGGCTCTGTTGGCCGATTTAAAAAACATCATATTTATATCCTTAATTAAGTGTGGGAAGAACAGCTTGCCGATCGATTCTGCGACTAACGTGTAGATTAAATTGCAATAATTGTACTGCATCGTATGAAGAACAAACAAAGAGACATGTCGCTACACGGATTAAGAAATACTGTAAAAATATTAAATTACATCATAGTTCGCATTCAGTTGTAAGTAAGCACCGATGTGAATTTAATTATGATTTTGATTTAAAAAAATTTGACATTTTACATATGGAAAATCATTTAAGAAAGAGAGAGATAGCAGAAATGTTTTTCATTAAAAAATAAAATAATAACATAAATTCACAAAGGGATACAGAATGCTTAAACGACATGTACAACAAAATTATAAAGAATATATTATAACTTGAGGATACTTCGGCGTGACATGTTGACTATTTCTCGTATAAACTTTCAATCATTTGACTTTTATATAATTTATAGTTTAATAATTATCGACAGTATTACTAATATGAAGATTTAATTTAATGATATATATTGTAAGTAATTTTAGTTTATTGTTTTAATTTTTGTCATATATTGAATTGCATATGTTAATAATTATATATTTTAGTGTTCACTTAAAAAGGACCACAACCACATGGTCGAAACGTAGTAAATTTAATAAACAAAATATTACGCTAGTTTTGATTAATTATTTCTACTCTCCTAAATTAAAATTATGTACATAATAGAAACTTAGGAATCTAAATTATGTACATAATAGAAACTCGAGAATTAAAATTATGTACATAATAGGAGTTCGGGAATTAAAATTATGTACATAATAGAAATTCGATAAATTAAAATTATGAACATAGTAGAAATTCACGAATAAAAATTGTGTACATAATAGAAATGCAGAAATTAAAATTATGTACATAATAGAAATTCGGCAAATTAAAAATATATATTTAATAGAAATTCGAGAATTAAAATTACATATAGTATATATAGTAGAAATTTAGGAATAATAATTGTGCACATAATAGAAATTCAGCCAATCAAAATTAAGTACATATTGTATAATAGAAATTCAAAAATTACAATTATGTGTATAATATTAATTCGCGAATCAAAATTAAGTAAATATAGAAATTCGAATCAAAATTATGTACATAATAAAAATGGAGAATTAATTTCATGTACAAAATAAAAATTCGATGAAATAAAAGTATGTATATAATAGAAATTTGCTGAATTTCTGTTATATATAATAGAAATTTGCTGCCATAGAAATTTGTTATTATATATAATAGATATTTGCTGAATCTCAATTATATATATAGGTACATATAATTTTAATTTGTTGCATTTCTATTATGTACATAATTTTAATTCTTGAATTTCCATTATGTATATAATTTTACACTCAATCACAAAATTAATAAACATTTATCAAATTTTAACTATTATATACACCAAATCTTTTAATATACATTATACTATCACTACATTAACCCCTCAATACATACAACTATCAAAATATGCCTCTTACGAAGTAAATGCTGTGACAGAACCGGCATCGCGGAAAAGAGGCAACAATAATACTTCGAGGTTTTCGAGATAAACCAATACATTCGAAAACCGACTTAACATGCCTTTTTAAAGAAAGGATATATTGAAATTTATGAATAAAAAATATATATATGTAACTGCATATTGCAAATTTTCTGAAAAATATAAAATAAACTATATATATGCGTTTTCTTGGCACTATAAATTAATTTATTTAATTAATCTATGTATTTTATAAAAGTATACAATTTGCAATATACAGTTACATAACACAAAATATTTATTAATTAATAACATTATAACCCAAGTAGCAAATTGACGTCATTTTGATGTTTAATGATGTCTTTTTGACATTTAATGATGTCAGTTTGCTACCTGGGAATATAAGCCCTGACTGCATATATATTTGATTTACCTGTGATTTGGGAACCTGGACCGTACCGTGATGACGAGGCCAGTATCTGATAAGGGCTCGTATGTAAAGGCTGCGATCGCGCTTGGCCGTGATAAGGTTGATTAGGTCGTGGTTTTACACAAGTATCCACCGGTGCACCGTCCGGAAAGCCGAAAACGGAAATTGAAGAGGAAACGACGAACACGAATAAGATAGTAATGTATCTGGCGGGATGCATCCTTCTCGCTTTATTTTGATGACGCAGAAATATACACATATAAGAAAAATTCTATTTTATACAGGGTGTCTCAGATCTACCATAAAATCTGTTAATGGCACCGATAATTTTCGAGTTATAAGCAATTGAAAATACAGTTTTTCGCAAACTATTGTAAAAATAAAATATTAAAACTCAGGGTTGGGTAATAACTATAATTAATTAGTTAAAAGTTAAAGAAAAGTTAATAACTTTTAACTTAGCTTAGTTAATTTAAAATGTATTAGGTTTTAACTTCAACTAGTTATTTTTGACCTTAAATTTATTAACCTGTTTCCTACGTTAAATTTTTTTATCTCTGAATATCATTATATTATTTTTTATAAGTTATAAACGTATTATATTTAAATTAGAGTATTATTAATTTTTGTGTTTATTTGTCATCAATTATAATTACCAAAAAATATATTTTTATATAAAAATCAAAATCTCTTTGTTATTTGTTATTATAAATTTTAAAAGAATTAACAAACAAAATTCTAGAGATTTTTTTCAATTTTTAAAAGTCTTGGTAGTACACCGAGAATAATGCGTGCCTTGCGCACGTTTTGTTTCCAACGAAAATTTAGTTTCGTTGTAAATGTATGTAGAAAACATCCGCGTATGGCTTTTTAAGCCTTCCTTATGATTTAGATTTATAAACAAAATTCTAATTTAATATAAATATTTTCAAAAATTTTAATTTTTGATTTAACTTTAGTTAATTTAATCTTAACTTTAACTGAGTTAATTTTTTATTCATGCAACTTTTAAATTAACTAAATTAATTTTATAAGCAACTAACTTTAACTTAACTTAGTTTGAAAAAATCATTAACTTACCCTGGCAAAACCACATTTTTCAATAATTTCAAGGAGAGATTATACTTTAATAGAATTTTAATTTAAGGCTTAGTTGCAAAGATACATGATGACAAAAATTAGGAACATGCAAAAAATGATGGTCTCCTTCTCTCGACATTTTCGCCGAGGAAAAATCATTCCCAAATGATCTCAGGAATCTGCCATTAACCAAGTTAATGGTCTCTATATAAGTATATTATTTATTCTCATCATTTGATGCAATTTTCTGAATCGCAATTTTCGAAATTACTTTAATAGAAAAAAATAGGTTTAAATAATAAAATTTAAATTGTAATTTAAAAAACCAATACACTTTTTCGTACAATTCTTTAGGTAGCAAGAACGATGTTTTTTTATCATAAAATAATTTTATAGTAATTATATAACGTGCATTATTACATATTACATTTATAAGCAAAAAATTAATTGACCAATAACTTCTCAGTAACACCTTATGCAATGTTATCTATAACATTCAATTTTGTTACACTTTTAAAATATTAATATAATTATATATATATTTCTATTGTAAAAATAACTAGTATGATATGTTAGATAAATAATATGCATGTCGTAGACTTATTAATGAATTAATATTAAGGCATATAGTTTATTTTTTGCAAAAAAATGTCACTTTTTTACACCAATGATAACTTAAAAGACCAAATGGATATTGTAAAAACTTACTTGAGACAGATTGCTATTACATAAAAGAAATTATGCAAAAAAAGATGTTTATCTTTTCTTTAAAAGATATCCTTGTGATAGAGAGGCACGTAAGAAACTACGGTATACGATCGCTTGCCGATAAGTCAAATATAGTTAGTGAGGTCCCCAAGAATTGCAAAGTTGTACTCGTTTTTTGCTAATTGATTACTTTCACTCTTCGTCAATCTTGTAACCGGTTTCACCTTGTTCGTTTAGGATATATATATATATATATATCTACAAACTGCTATATGTAACAAATACTACTATTTTATTTGTCATATATAAAACGAATTATTTCTATTATGTACCACAAAATATGTAATAATGTTATAATATTTTATCAATAAATACATAAAATTAATCTATTGCAAAAATATTATAATGATAAATTATTATACTTATCAATTAGCACATAACATATTTTACTGTAATTATTATTTTTGTTATATTTGAAAAAACTAAAATATTTAATAAAAAATAATTATTACAGAAATAATATAGAATATGTTAATATAAAAGTTAGTGCATAAATAATATTTTAAAGATTTTATTTTTATTTTCAATTTAACAAAAAAACGAATTGAATATGTTTTCTTTCGATGATGAGTTCATCCATAAATAAATATCACAAATTAAAGATTGAATATTTTAGTAAATAATGCATAGTAATATTAATAATTTTTTATAACCATTAATTTTTACATTTAATATTTAAAGTAAAACTTAATAATAATATAATTCTTAATAGATATATGTAATATATAATATATTTAATATAATATAATTTGTATATATATATATATATATATATGTTTTATAAGAGAATATAAGTAAAAAGTATATAAGTGGAAAGATTGACAAGAGATATTTTGTAAATAAATAATACAATTACAACAGATAATAAACAAATAATTATGATGTTAACATAAACATCAACATGCGCGCGTTACACACATAACATTTAATAATAATCAAAACATATATATCAAAAAAATTATTAAATATGATACGTGTGTAAAGTTGTACTCGTATATACATATATATATATATGTAAAGTTGCGACCGTTTCTTTATAAAAGTAATGCGTTACCGTTACTTTTTGTAAAAAGTAACGCGTTACCGTTAAATTACTCGTTATTGATTTTAAAAAGTAACGCCGCGTTACTGTTACCATTGCTCAAAAAGTAACGATTCATTACTTTTTCGTTACATTTTCGGTTTTTGTAATGCTAGAGCCTATTATTATTAAAATGTATAATTATATATAGAAAGCATTTTTTAATATTAAATATTTATTTGCATTTATTGCATGTAATCTTTATTATTTATTATATTAATTTAATATTAACTCAGAGAGAACTAAAAAGTAACGATAAAAGTAACGGCTAATTCGTTACCGTTACCACTGTAAAAATGTAACGACGTTACCGTTACCGTTACAGGTAGAAAAAAGTAATGATCGTTAAGGTGGGTTTAGGATGAGCTTAACGTAACGGAACGTAACGGAACGCGACGGAATTCGGCTATTACGATCGCCTTTACGTAACGAATTATTAGAACTTAACGCGACATCAAGCTTTGCCAAGCTTTGTCGCGTTTCGCCTAGTCGGTCTTTAAAAAAATTTATTATAATTATTAAAATAATTATTATTAATTATAATTCTTATTATAGTTATAATAATTATTATAATTATAATCATAAATATGTATATAATATTAGTTACTAATATATTATTGTAATAATTATTTTATATTTATACAATTATAATTATTATAATTATAATCTTAATAATTATTATTCAATTATTAATTAATTAATTTTTTATTTAAAATTACATTAAAAATATTTTAATGTAACTTTTTTTTTGTTTTTTTACGCGCGCTACATTCGAGTTTAAGAATTTGACATTTAACATTGTGTTGCTCATTCGGAGCTTATAGCAATAGAAGATGTCAATTAACGACACGTTATTGATAGAGTGTGTTCGTGCGCATCCCGAAATATACGACAAGGGACATGCCGGATTCAAAAATTCCGGCATAAAAGACTCCGCATGGAAGATTGTTGGCGAAACATTGAATGGTAGGTTATATTGCATCTTTTTTTTAAAATTTATATTTATTACATTAATTTATATATGTTTTTTAATATCTTTTTTGTTATGATTTCAGCATCAGCGACAGATTGTACGGCCAGGTGGCATACTCTTCGCGAGATTCGCGAAAGAAAAACGTATTTTTGAGCAGGAGGGGAAGTCTGGAGCAGCAGCCTCAACCCGTCCAGAATGGGCCTTATATAGTGTTATGTCATTTCTGACACCGCACATTAGGAAGAGAAAGTAAGTTTGGTATATGATGGTTTGTTGTACGAATTTTCGAATAATTACGATAATTTTTTTAATTATTTCCGGTTGCAGATCTGTGGACAATTTTCAAACAAAGGCGTTGGTATCTAAAACTACACCTTCACCAGATGAAGAAATAATAATAAATGAGCAAGCTGTGGACATTAATAGCGCACCCTTTATAATTTCTACCTGTTCTACCCTCTCCTCGCCTGGCTGTAGCTCATCAGCTGCTAATATGCCTTATTTGGGACCTACAAGTCGTAAGAGGTCAAAGGTGGACGAAACAGATGAATTGTTCAGAGAGACTCTTACTAATTTAAATAAATCTATGGCTGTAGCCAGTGCTCCTACTCCACCACTATCATCACCACCTTCAATTAATGATCCAGACGTCTTGATTAGCAGAAACGTTGAATCTTGTCTCAAGAATTTAACAAATATGACGTTAAGACTTAAATATAGAAGGAAATTTAGATCTATAATCCAAGATTGTGAGGAGGAGGCTGAAGATATAAAATTATCAGAATTTATAGATATATAATTCGTTTATTTTATTATCTTATATTTTTATTTTATTACTTTATTTTATTTATTTCTGTGTTTATTTAAAAATAAAAATGTTTAATTCTATTTATTTCTGTTTAAAAAATAAAAATTCTATTTCTTTCTGTGTTTAAATAAAAATGTTTTATTCATGTTTTGTATTAAGATTTATTTAATTAAAAAAAAAACTCATGGCAGTAAGTGTAGATCTTGAGGGGGGATAATTCCTTGCCGGATCCTCACAATAGTGTCTTGATGGCGCATAACCCCAGGCCCATTCACGAATTCCTTCAGTGCATCTCTCTGTTTTAAAATTCCTAGAGCAGCATTTCTTGCACCCATCCGTGGACCATTAATGATGGCTCCATTTTCCCCACTGACAACATCATGCCATTCTCCTTCTATCAATTCGCCAGTTGGCAATTCTTGATCCACAAACGAAGGAGGGCAGTACTCCAGGTTGAGTTTCTTGTTGCCTGTCTTAAGGATGAAATTGTGGAGGCAAATAGTACATTCAATAATGCTTTCCACATTGTCTTCTTTACTAATAATAGGGCGACGAAAAACTCTCCAACGAGCTGCTAAAATGCCAAAGGCATTTTCAATCACTCTTCTTGCTCTGCTCAACCTAAAGTTATACACAGACTTGTCATGAGATATGTTACGTTCGCCATAGGGTTTCATTAGGTAAGATTTCAGAGGGAAAGCTGCATCTCCTACAAGGAAGTAAGGCATATCAATATCAGTTTCTGGTAGGTTACTCGAATTTGGCAAATTAATAGATCCATCATTCAATCGCCGACCCATTTCAGACGATTGAAAAATTCCGCCATCACTTTGTGAGCCTTCTGCTCCTACATCGAGCATGATGAAATTGTAGTATGCATCACAAACTGCCAATAGAACTATGCTAAATGTTTTCTTGTAATTAAAGTAAATACTTTGAGAAGCTTGTGGGGCCTGCATTTGAATGTGCTTCCCATCGATGGCTCCCACACAATGGAGAAACTGCCATTCTTCCCAAAATCCAGCAGCCACCTCACGCCACTCCGCTTCATTTGCAGGAGGCTTTACAAATGCATTCTTCAAAACACTTACAAGTGCTCGAGTAGTTTCAGCCAGGATCTGAGAGATAGTGCTCTTGCCACATCTATAGGAAAAGCTCAGAGTACCCTGACTGTCTCCTGCTGCCAAGAACCTTAATGTTATGGCAAGTCTCTGAGAGGGTAAAAGAGTAGTGTACATTTTTCGTTTCTTTAACAGTGGACCAATTAAACTCAAGAGATACTCGAATCTAAGAAAGCAAAATATAATATGTAAAAAATAAACCCTATACGATCAAACCATTAATCTTTTATGATTCTTTATTAATAGACATTACCTTTCAACATTCATTCTTGTATAAATAAAAAAAAAGTGCGGATCATTAAAACGGAGTTCTTCTAACAGATTATGTCCGTCACCAAACTGGATTCTTCTTCGAAAAATCTCTCTCACACCAATGGTTCGTACTCGTTTTCTCTTCCGCCGTTGAAGGTAAAAATATCCGATCGAAATTAAATTAAAAATTTGATAATTTCTCACAGCAGAATTCATTTTGATAGAAACTACCAACGAGAATGACAACAAGAATAATAACGCTGTCAAAATGCACGCTGTTTTTTTTAACGGCACGTTATGGCGATCGTAATTAGACAGATATACTTTAACGTTAAGTTTACTTCACGTCACTTCACGTCCCGTTGCGTTCCGTTACGTTCCGTTACGTTAAGCTCATCCTAAACCCACCTTTACCGAAAAAAAAGTAACGGTAACGGTTACAACCCAGATAGTACAAGCTATTCGAAAAGAATTCATTTGTATGTCACCAATTTTGATGACATCATTTATTTGGACTAATAAGACCGTCACATCAAACGGTATAAATGAACAAATTAGTAATTAAATAAAATTGAATATATATTTTATTTTGCAATTTTTCTGAAATGTTGCTGTAATATTCTCATAAAATATTACAGTTATATGTTCTTGTAATGTCTCTAAAATGTTACATTGCAACTTAAGAGATTGTAACATTGCTGCAATGTAATTGCAATGTTGTGTTGTATGGGTAGTGAAAGGTAAGCAAAATATATGTATAATGGAATGCAATATGCAATAACTCAATTTGTCGTTTTATATACTAGTTCATAAATCAGTATAATAATAATTTAAACAAATATGATACAAAAAAATTAATTATATATGATGCAAAGATTAAGGTTACGATATTAATATACATATATACAGAGCTGAGAAGTAACACGTTACTTCTCAGATAGCACAAACTATTCGAAAAGAATTCATTTGTATGTCACCAATTTTGAGTCCCTTTTTAAATACATATAGAATTTAATATAAAAAAAACTGTTAATCTCGGCTCGAATTATTGTGTTACAATAAAAATAAAATCTCGACGGCAATCGGAGCCTGTGCGGATGACATGCACAAAATTAATAAATTAAAATGAGATCTCAAATCAAAATCATTTATTAAATTCTAAACGTTTCGACCCACTTCGGGTCTTCTTCAGTAGCTGCAAAATACAAAGAAACAAAAATAGAAGATAATCGGTACAATCAGAAAATTATAAACTCGTATACATACAATCCGCAAATAAATTAAATATCATTCTCCTCCCTATTCAAACCGTCCGGCCGTCGGAGTGTCTCCCTAACGGTGACCATCATCAGGAAGGAAGCAGAGCAGTGACTCCCTTACCAACACTAATCAACATAGTATAAATTAAACGTAGAACAATCCACAAGAATTAAAAATTAAAAACCGGGAAGAACACTCACCCCGACAGCAAAAACAGAGAGAAGACGATGCTACACGTGACACATCACTCTAACGACTGTGCGGTATTCTACCTCGACACAGTCGATACATATATACGCAAAAAACCAAATATAAAAATAAAATATGAAAATAAAAATAACAATAAAAACAACTAAACTAATCGGCACTCATGTCAAAGGTCTAACAAAAAAACCCGGCTATGTATAATCACAAAGCTAGATTTTGGTGAATTTTTCTATTAACAGATCAAAATTCTCGTTTAATTTATCAGTGTCGCTATGTAAATTTAAACTATTCCTCTGACGTTTTATGTTTCTTTGTATTTTGCAGCTACTGAAGAAGACCCGAAGTGGGTCGAAACGTTTAGAATTTAATAAATGAGTTTGATTTGAGATCTCATTTTAATTTATTAATTTTGTGCATGTCATCCGCACAGGCTCCGATTGCCGTCAAGATTTTATTTTTATTGTAACATATAGAATTTATTTTACAAATTTATATAATCTAAAGAGTATAAAGCAAATAAATAGTATATTAGCTAACAAATGCGGGGGATCATAAATCGGCCGAGAGTGCGGAAGTTTGGCGCACGAGGTGAAGCCGAGTGTGACAATCCACACGATCAGCCAATTTACGACCCGCACATGTTGGCTACGATATTTTGTGTGGCCGGTGCGTGGAAAGAGAGCCCTTTCTAAAATCCCATCATGTGCGTAAAGAGCGACTTTCCGCGCGCAAGTTGCATAAAAAATTATTAATAAGATTTTGGAAGATAGGTAAATATAATTAAATATATTACTTTCTAAATCATAACATATATAGTTATTTTGAGATTATATAGTAATGTAAGGAATTAATTATCACGGGAAAAATGTCAGAATAGGAATTCCCGGAAACTCAAGGAAGGAGCATCGAAGATAGAAATAAAAGATAATCACGATTTAACACAGACTGTAACTTTTTATTTCTAGAGAGCCGATTTCTTCTTCGCACCTCGAAGGTCGGAGCACGAGTTCCCCTTATCCTCTATCGGCACCAGCCTTTTCGTCTTGCTCAGTGCGTAATTATCTGATTCTAGCCAATAATCGATCCGAGATCAATGTGGTCACGCATTATCGACCATTTATTGCTCGATACGCATAATTTTCGGCTTCTGCGCATGTTCTTCTCCGGGTTTACTCCAATACGCTTACGCATCGTCAAATTACGCATCTTTTACGCGACTGCGTGCTCGAGGTTAGGAGTCGAAAGACCCAATGGTACGCATCCCGCGGATCCACTATGTGGTGCTCAATCGTTCTTTCTAATTACATATAACTTTCTTACAGTTCGGCTATTCTGCACATACGTACGTTCCGAATGTATATATTTTTTTCAGAAAATTAATTACTAGCTCAACTATATAACACTGTTGGACAGTTTCACGCACAGCCAAAAAACTTTATTGTTTCCTTTTTCACAGAATATTTTTAAATCTTACATAGGGTATTGCACATTTGTATATAAAATATAAAAATGTAATTATAATATATTGAGCACTAACAGTATTTTTCCTTACTTACTAACTTAACATTACGATTGTACTGGTTTAATCCAGTATTTCAATCTGTCCGGTGACAGGATTGTGTTGTATGATCTTTGTGTGAGATTGTGCCCTGGGATATCACGTACTACATAGCGATTATTATTTAAGGCCTTAGCCACTAAATATGGACCTCTGTAGTTTGAGTTTAATTTTTTATTTTCGCCGGGTTTACTGGTAGTGTCCCGAACTAACACGTAGTCACTAGCTTTATATTTTGTTGGTGTCAAATGTTTTTTATCATAATATAATTCATTATATTGGTGAAATTTCTCTGTTGTTTCCAACGCAAGTTTTCTACTCGCCTTACGAGTAGTCTTCACCTCTATTTCAGAGTTAACAATCTCACGCAAAGTCCGTACTATCGCCGCATCGATATGGCAATTTTGATCGGTATCAAAATAGATCTTAGCCGGCGTGGCCTTAAGCGACGAATGTATTGTGTTATTAATGACGTATTGCGCTTGCTAAAGGTGTTCTTTCCACTCTTCAGGTTCGTTAACCAATT